ACGACTTAATAGCTGGTAGAGAGAGGGCACAAGGCTTGAGGTGACCAGGCTCGAATGAAGCTGGACGCAACAACCGCAGAACACCCAAAGTTCTGCATTCTGCCACACATAAAGCCATATGTTTCAATAGTGTAAAATAAAAGTAGGATGGAGTAGGTTAAAAAAAACAAGACGATGGACTTAAGTCATGTCTTGGCAGAAGCGTCAAAAACTTTGAACCTAGGGCGTCTCCAGGACTACTAAGGTCCCCGCTTGCCACACTCTTCTATTTAATAATAGTGGATTTCGCTAGAAGTATTAAACGGTAAAGTGGTGAATGAGGTCGCAAACGAACATCTTGACACATGTCATGGTTGTATGATGTGTAGACATAGAGGAGTGATGCTAGCAGCTTCCTCCTGAGTGGTCCGTAGTAGTGATTGACTCCCACGGAACACTTTGTCGCTCGACATGACATGCGATATGATGCAGCATGAAGCCCTTCTTGAAAGCAGCTTCCAGAGTGAGGATTTCGAGGCGACCGGATGTTGGTGGACGCTGCGCGACTGATTGGTGCCTCCGAGAGGGGTGGCTGTTCCGTGTCCGGTGCCATTCTGGTGGTGGTGACTTTGATGGCACAAGACGTTTCGGTTGGAGTAGACGTAGAAGTAGCTTGAGCTTCTTCGCGCCTTGCCTTTGAGTGTGCTTAGGGGTGGGGAAATTAGTGTTGGCCAAATGACCGGAGGTTGTGGACGGACAGTTGTCATTCTCCCTCTCACTCATCGTGTCCACTTAAGGACTTTGCCTTGGCACCACCCAATTTTGTTCTACTCTAGACCTTAGGAAAAGTAAAATCTGTATGCTTTATTTCCTTTTAGCCACATAAAAATGATGCAGAGATTCGAAAGAGGAGGAAGTCAGTCGAGGTCACAATCAGCAGTTTACTGAATTGCAATACTATTACGTGTGATTGCAAATGCGTCCAACCTTTCCTTTTAGTAAAATTAATAGGTGTAAAATGTCATTTTGCGAAAACGCTTCACTTTATTGGGGTCCAGTGAAGCGAACAAGAACCAACTTCTCCAGAGGATGCTTGAGCATAATCTGTTCTGACAAACACGTGCTTCCCTTCTGCCTCTATGAGTGCCTTTTAAGATGTTGGCTATGGAGGTTTGGGGGGGGG